GCTATGGGCTGCATTATACTGGCTACTGCGTAAAGATATGCACTAAATCACCTCTGACTCAGCCTGTATTGGTTGGGGATTATGTGAATCTGTCACCAGCTCCGATTCAACCTCCAGTTTTCTATTCGCCATTTGGACAAGCTAACTTCCACATCTGACCAGATAATATAAACCTCTTTCAGAATCAGGCCAACTGGCCATCTGATGGGGAAGCTCCTAGGATAGTTGAAGGAATACACAATGGAGACTCAATGACAGCATTGGGAGCACAAATTGAAGCACTAACATTGAAGCTTGACTAGTTAACTCATATTTAGCAACCAGCAAACTTCAGCATGCTCTTTTTTAAGAGTCTTTAACCTTACCCTTATATTCTTATCTGAGACCATGACCTCGCATCCATTGAGAACCTTATCAATTGCCTTAGATACTTGAAACAAAGTAAAGCCATTGTCAATTCGTTTGTGCCCAACCAACACTTGTTCAACAAGTGAAGTGATCATAAAACCATCAATCTCATCACTCCAACGTATGTAACGAGTCCTAGCATTAGGCTCCACTTGCGATCTACCAAAATCAATTTCATTCCCGTCCGAAGGGGTGGTCGGTTTGGGAACTCGAAAAGGGCCCGTAGAGCTTCGTCGATTTTGTGCCATCAACGTTGTCATTTGAAAACAGAAAAATATCAATATTAGCATAACTAGAAGGAACAATAGTATTGCTTGAAAATAATCTAACAACGATATAAACCAGGCAAAGAGATTCGAAACTTTATCATAGATGCAAATGTAGATAGCCTTGGAAATAAGAAAACATTACAACAGAACAAGTATGGAAGTCAATGTTACAACAGAACAAGTATCGAAGCAACCTTAGTTGATTGCAAATTATTAAACACACATCTGAAAAGTGAGTGCAATCTGAATCTTTCATGCAATTTTATTGTCCTTTTCATTCCGGGTGCCACTGTCCTTTTCATTTCTTTGGATCTCACTTGACCAAAATCATCAATATAGATGTTAAAGTCGCAGGTAAAAGTCACATAACATATGTGGATCTAGATGCCCATGTTAATTCTTTGACGGAAATCTAGAGGCCTACCATTCGTCCTCTTAGTATTGCTCGATTATGAAAATGCAAGTTGTCAAAATTTGAAGGAAAAATGAAGTTAACTCGTTGAGATGTAAATAAGAAAAGAATAATTTTTCCTCCCATGGTTAAATTTTATATTACAAAACTCAGAAGAATCAGGGAAAGAAAAAAGAAGAAGATAAACTAATCATCTCTAGCAAGATATTTTGAACTAACAAAGCAAAGTATTAACATGTCGATTAGCAAATGATCACATTTTTGTTTAGAAGAATTCAACTCTCTCTACATGATTTTTGTTTAAGATGACAGCCTTTCAATAATCATAATCTGGATGCTGAAATTTCTGATTCCTTGGGTAGATGAATTCATATATGACTGTCATTGCAAGGGAAGCAACCACAAGATTTGTGACCAGAGAAATGCACTCTATTGCGGCTCATCATCTTGCGTGGTTGTTCACTGACTTTTTGAATTTCTTCTGAATGCTGAATCTGGGCTGTAGCTCTCAATTCTTCGGCTTTTCTATGAACAACTGCCATCCTCTTCATTAACTTCTCTTCCAGATTTGATCTCATTTTTTGTATTTTCACCTGAAAGCGAATATCATATTATCTAACACATCGTAAAAAGATCAGTTCACAAGATAAACCAGTAAAATGATACAAAGTATGATTCAGAGACTACAATATTCCCTTGTATGTATGTTTGTTTGTCTTCAATACCGCATTGTTTGTTAACCACGAGTTCCAAATATGAATGGATAAATTAATTACAAGTTACTTATTTACAACTTTCACCAACAAAAAAGTTGTTTATTTTTAAGCTTGGCCACAATGCACAAGGCCAAATTGTTAGAATGCTGATAATATTGTTTTTCTTCTCTTATGAGTACGCTGATAACAAGGTAGAAACTGATAAAGGAAGTTTGTTTTAGAACAAATGTTCCTCATTTTTTTATCACTATGATTGTTGTCTTCTCCATTAGAATAGCAGCGAAATTTCAAGCATATAATCAAGACTCTAATTTAAGTTAATAATTTGTCTTGATTTTTGGGAGTGCAGTAACTTCACATGAGTTTCAAACTTCCAATGTTTAATAGTCATTCATGCATGAAATATAATAACCTGCATTGTGCTGACTTCTCTTGCTTTCTTACTTCTGGTGTACATTATATAAATTGGGTAAAGAGAGCACTCAAAAAGAGATTAGGACCACCATGTGAACACAATGTCCTGTCTATTGAGTGGCTCAATGAAGATAAAGCCAACTATAAGCTTGCAAAAGTCTTTATCTATGACCAGCATAATAAAGACTCTTAAAATACATGGAAGAATGAAATCTCTCTTTACACACACAAAATGTGCCCTATTGAGCAGATCTAGCAATAAATAGAACCGAATGGAAAAAAAGAATTCATGTAGCTAACTTCAAATTTGTTGGGAATAAGGCTTAGTTTGTTGTTATTATTATTGTGTAAAAACTGTCAAAAACTATAGGTCAGTATAATATTCATTTACTTCAGCAGTTACCGTTAAAATATTTTGCTATCTATGCAGAGAAAAATGAACTTAAAGATGCACATTGGAGATGGATATGGATGAGCATAAAGAATGAATTTTGATGGGATAAAACAATCTTGAAATTGAGATGTTAACAGTTAACTTCATGTTGTTATGTATGTCTAATTTGCATAGTATAAAGGAATTTAAGGTGAAAGCAGAAAGCGATGGTTAGAAATTAAACCTCGAGCTTTCTTGATTTGGCTTCTGCTTTGGCATTTTGGAGATTCACCCAAGCTTGAATTTTAGCTTCTTCTCTTTGGTACCTGAAGTTCTGCTTCCAATTAATACATTTTTGGGAAAACATAACAAGAGAATGGGGGGAACCTTGTGATTCATTTACCTGAGGCAAGACTTCATCTTTTCCTCTTCCTCCCAGGTACAGGGTCTAGACCTGGAAATACTTTTCCTGCACTCATTATTCATCTCGAAGTGTCTCAAGCTCTTTGATATGTCCTCCTCCTCCTCTTCTCGAGAGCTCCAATTCGTTGTAACAGACTCAAATTGTATCTCATGATGTAACTTGGCTAAATAGCAATCTTGCAATTGCATTACGTCAATAGTGTTGGCGCCATCCATACTTGCCAAGGCCAATGGGCTGGACCTATTAGTGGGTGTGTTATGGTGCGCAGGTGATGTGCTAATGAACGGAGTCGGGCATCTTGAAGTGGTGGAGCTGCCAAGAGGGGTCATTTCAGTTCCAATGTCACGGTGTTTTACCTCGTGAACTATTTCTGAGATCGCACCTTCCCCTGACTCTTCCACAGCATTCCCAAATAAAAATCCTTCTTTCATTGGCTCTACACACTTGAATTTGGGACAAATTTGTTCTACCTCATTTGTGAAATTATCTGCATATGCAAGATTCATATGTAAATTGTTCAATAGCAATCGAACATTGCACAATTTTGTCAATGTAAACATAGAGAATCTTAAGAAAGCACCAGTCAGCATTTTACAAGCAGGCTATTATTTACCATCGAGATGGCTTAGAATGAAGATTCTTACCTTTCAGTAGTACATTACCATTGAAAGGTCTGGCTGAGTCCAGAGTTGAAACCCTTTGAAAGTTTGAAACAACTTTAGAGACCTTTTCCTCTGTAACCCTAAATTTCTCGGCATAGACATCAGGCTGGTGTAGCTTGTACCCACAACACTGTTTTGAGTACATTTTTGAGGCCTCCGATGGTTTTATCAAATCATAATGATTAGCACGGGAGTCATGGCAAGAACTGCCACTGACAAGCCACTTCTCTGCATCATCCCATTTTGAAGGAAAACTTTTTCTTTTGAAATTTCCACTGCTGAAGCTGAAAGTAGGCCTCCCAGGTGTAGGTGGAGCTTCTAAATTCCTCTTTGAAACAGAATCCACACCATTTTCTCTACTCCTCTGAGCTGAAACCTCAAGAAAACCTCTTATTTCTGTACCATTGTTTGCCACTGGAAATGACTTCACAAAATCAGAAGTTTCCTTGAGATTCAGCTTGCAAAGAGGGTCAGAAAATGTATCCAAAAATGGGTTTTTTGTATTTGTCTTGCAAAATCCATTGCTGTCCTCTAATGTTGCTCCCTGAATAAGAAACAACAAAATATACACAGTAAACTCTAGTGCATCTTTTACTTTTCACCAGAGAACACAAGAAAATGCAAGAAAAGTAATAGTAAAATTTGTTTTACCACTTGAGATGCAAACAAGGGTGGAGTTTCCAAGTACTTAGTGGTAGTAAGATTCATGGCTACAAGCTTGAAGAAAATTTCAACCTAAAACGCTTGAACTTCTTGTGAAATATTTACAACTACGTCTAAGAAAACTGGATGCTATTTTTCCCAATATGAACCACATTCGACACAAAACTCACTGCCACAAGAAAGTGACCGGTAAATTTAACTGGCAAAATTGGTCTAAAACACTATTGAACAATGACTAAAAATCATGCAATATAGGACAAAATACCCTCCCCTCCAAAAATGACACAACCGTAAAGTCATAAATCTCCAGCAGTGACCGTGTAGGAGAAAGGTTACAATTATCGTACTTTGTTGTGAAAAGAAGAGTGGAGCATTGGGGGGGTGTAAAAAGCCACTATGTGTCACGGGACTCACGACTCCATGTGTAACAAAATTTAGAACTTCGGAAAAGCTTCTTAGCTGGTCTTGACTCCACTTTTTAAAGAGTATCACTCCACTTTTTAAAAAGCATTCCAATGTGATGTAAAATTAAATGTAAATTAATATATTCAAAATTACTTTTTGCATTCTAATTTATATCTCGATGGATTGAAATTCATATTTTGCTCCAATGAGAATATCTAAATTCATTTTTTCTCTTTTGTGAACGTAAAAAAAATGTATAAATTACATTTCTTTTGCATCTTTCCACTAACGAGGTTCTAGTCACTTTGAAAATTTTATCCCAGGATTGGATAGTGTGCAATGTGAGTTCATGCATGATATATGCACTTCCACTAGGGAGCATAATAGTATTTGAATAATGCTACTTAATCAATGGCGGGATAAATGATTCATTGTCACATAGTTTGATGTTAACATTCGTGATGTTTAGTATCACTTGAGGTGACAATGAACCCTACGTCCCACTATTGCTAAATGTTCACGAAAATATATTTCGAATTAAAACCATCACAAGTGTACGGTTCGTTAAACAAGTAATAAAGTAGATTTTGAGTCCAAATATCGTCCCATAGAGATTAATTAGTTCAATATTAATTTCGAAACGTTAACCGAAACAATAATAATGTTATGTGTTTATTTGTGGCAAAATAATAACTAAAATAATCTACTCATACAATTATGAGTAAATTAACTAAATTAAATGCAAATTAATGTGTTTAATAAATGAAAAATGCAATAGGATCTCGAATTCCCATGCAATAATTCCTTTTAATATTAGTTTTACACATTGACAACACGATTGAATTTTGACGAATCAATGTTTCTATTTTACTTAACAATCTCTCTCGAGTAATGTAAAACATACTCTCATATATGACCCGACTATATTTCAATGACAAATGTGAACATATAAGAGTACAAGAAGTTTTATGAATACTTAAAGATTCACATAGAGCAAACAATATATTTCTATTTCATATCGGACCCTATGACGTTTTATATATGTCGAACATATTTTCCTTCTTTCGAATACATAAAATAGGCTACCACATTCATACAACTATCGTGCATAATAATTGTGGAGAAAAGAAAATCATATAAATCATTCAATATCCAAAAACGTGTTTTCAATACCAAGTATGTAAAACTAAAGATTAAAAGTTCATATTACACGGTTCATTGTTCTCCTAGCAAAAAGCAAAATAGCTTAACATATTATGAGAAAAAAAAATAAAAGAAATATTGAATAATCAACATCACATAAATAAAGCTTGAATTGAATCTTCGAATTTTTAATCGATCTTCATATTTCTTGCCTCCTTCTATGCTCCCAAAATCTCTTAGAATGTGTTGTAATGCGTGGTAAACACTTCTAGACGGCCCTAAGTCTTTAAAAGACACCCTAAGATTTGTATCTATAAGAGTTAGAATTATCTAAGGAAATTAAAATTTTTTTCTCCGAAAATATATTTTGCTATAGCATAATACCAACACATGCTATAACATAGTTCAATGAAACTCAGCCCTGAAATTTCCTGAAGCTAACCATGTGACCGCATGGAATTTTACACTAGGCGACCGCATAGTGTAGATTAAACTCCAAATGTTGAGTTTTAGTCTCCAAACTCCGTTTTCTCGTTTCTTGACATCTTTTCTTGCTTCTTCTTCTTCCAACACTTCATTTTTTTGCTCAATTGGTTTTTTGACTCTTTCACATCTTTGTTTCTTCTTCCGGGTCATCTTTTGGTTATTTGCACTTTGGTCCTTGAACTTTTGTTTTCTTCAATTTAGTCATTGTTTCACTTCTTTTTTTTCTAAATTCTACCATGTTCATCAATGTTATCCTACAAAACATAATTATATATAATTAAGTCATATTTCGATATATTTACCAACAATTGTCCATATTTTGTGCCTTAAATAAGTGTATAAAATGCACTTATCAAATCGCCCAAACTTGAACAATTGTTTGTCCTCAAATAAATTGTAGCTTAACTCCAAACAAAACATGATATGACAACATACCATGTCTCTGGATTGAAATTTAATAATCACATAATGAATAGCCCTAACAGTGTAAAATCAAATCAATCTCCATATGTTATATGCATAACTCGACGTGTGTAAACTCATGTAAACATATCAAGCTCATGATTAGCTCAACTTCTGACCCATAGTGGTTAAATATTTCCTTTCTTCTATCGAGAGACACATATCCCCCCAAACTTATTCTTTTCACTTAATTTTTTCAAGGTGTCTCATAAGTTGAACTTATTTAATTCTACTCATTATTATCCTCTTTTAGTTTGGATAGATCTTACTATCACAAGTTCACACTTCAACAAGTCAAGATTATCCTATATTTTTTATCGCTTCAACCTCTAGGACTGAACTAAGCTATTTGTATAGTATCAAATGTATGGTTCTAGGGCTTAATCAATGTAATTGTGCTTTTTCTCAAATATTATTGTTTTTCATTTTTTCGAAAATCTTCTCATTTGCTTTCTATATAACTCATATAGCGAACATTAGGCTGATAACTCTTACATTAGATAACCATAGAGTACCGGGTTTTAAACCCTTATAGGATTATTCACTCAAGTTATACATGCTCGAAAATATGATTTTATTTACACATAGACTAGTTCTATGCCCCTTTTCTTTTAGATATTCAGCCTCTAAAACCAATCCCTAACTTAAGACTTTCACCTCGTATTCATCTAATTAGTTTTAGACAATCCACATAAGATAATTTCATGCACGAAACCCCTACTCATGTCAATGTTCTCTTGTAACAGGTCAACCACTTCCAACTACTCTATTAATGGACTATGAATTAATACAATATAGGTTATTCGGGTTTAACTTACTATGTTCAACTTTTCTCAAAGTAATGAGACAAATCACAAACTTTAATGAGTGTCGTGCATAAAGAATGTCAAGTTTCACATAAACAAGTATTGGCTAATCTAAACATGTAATATTTTCACCATTTATAGTCCATAATTATTCAAATATTGAACATCATTGCAGGCAAGATCATCAAACTCACACAAGCACACAAAATAATAAGCAAATACTAGAAAATAAATAAAAACTACTAATTTTTTTTTACGCACAATGACACAAAATCAATAAATTATATTGATGAAAGACCAAGGTGTCATGAAAGTTCTGTTACCCCCTAAACTTATAAAAAACATTGTCCTCAATGTGTAGCAATTTTAGTGAAATGCAGAAGTTTAAGACAAAAATAGAATTATGTACCAAAATAGAGGTAACAAATACTCCTCTGATCAATATGGATGTGACAGTGAAGATGGTGGAGGGAAAGTAGAGATACATGTGCCATCTACTGAAGGTGAAGGCAGTCGTGCAAGAATCCGTTTCATCAACTTGGACTATTGGGCGTGTTCGGTCTATAAGCCCCTCATCATGCCAAAACCCTCGTCAAGCTGCCCTTACATACCCTAAAGTAGTGTCGATTGCTCCTGAACCTCAGTTTCAATTCTACCTAATCGATCTCATATCTCATTAGCCCTCAACTGTATACCGTCAACTCTCCCTACATAAGTACTCAACTGCTTATTCAAGATCTCGACCTCTCTCCTTGCAGCCAAAGACTTCTTACTGGCAACAACCGTAAAATTCCTGGTGGTCAACATATCACTTTGCATTGTCTAGATATCAGCACCCATGGCTCCAATGGCTTGCTGAAGACTCTGAATATCTCAGCTAGAGCCGGTCATAGTAGCTAAATCGACATCTCTAGGTGGTGGTGGAGCCTGAGGCATCTTAATGTCATCGACAGCCTAACTCCTCTCAGCTGGTTGTTGTCTAAGAAGCTCCCTCTTTAACTTTTCTTTATGTTTCTCATGAGCTCTTTCCTGCGCCTCAAATGTAGTATGTTTAATAAAAGCACTAGGCTTTCTTGAACTTCCCCAGATGTGATATTCACACTTCAGCTCTTGCAAATTCCACTGATCAAGCTCAGGAATATGAAAGAAGGGTAGCGGTCCTCCCAAACCCTCTAAGAGTGACATTGATGAACGTCTCCAAGTCAATCTTCTGACCCCTCACCAAGTGGTAGATGAATCCAGCCTTGGGATCATTGAACGTGGTCCGATGTGTTGGAGGCTCAATATTGTGGCACATGAACGGCTATTGAAGGCATAAGCTCAATCTGATGCCATTCAGAAGTTTACAATGGCCAAGCGTTTTCTCGTCAAAGCAAAACATCCTCGACCTCATTCTAATGGAAGTCACCTGGAATCGGGACAATATTGTCCTAGATTAGCTGATATTACTCATTATGACATTAGGTAAGAATATAATCCACGTCCTTTACCCAGAGGTGTCTATTTCACTATTGAAGTTGGCGTAGTTTTCCCAAACAAGTCCTTCGTATACTCATGTGGTCTTTTCTTCATTTTTTCACATCCACAATTCTGCACTAAGGTAACAATCTCAAACCCTGGGAAATCCTTTAGTTTAATCGGTTGCTCTGCAAGTAATGCCCAATGGCTAATGATATCGGAGTGTCTAGATATGGACTCTTGATTCAAAAACCTTCTTATACCTTCATCATGTCCTTAGGTACG